GGTCTGTGGGGACTCAGGGGAAAAATTAGCAGAAGTGGATCCCTAGTTCATACAAAATTGAATTGTTTTACTGTAGTGAGTGTATTAATCTTGGCTCATCTCAGCAAAGAAATAGGTTTTATTAATTTGGTTCTAAGTCATTGAAATCTAGTGGAAATTCTCACTCTGAATCTGATCTTTGGAAACAGTTTCTACTCAGTAAATATGAAAATAATGTCTGTTATAACTAAAATTTGTAGATACCTCTTTCTTTTGCTCAGTACTTGTTCAGCACAAAAGAGATTTAGTACTTCACAGTTATCCTGGATTATTCTTTTATAAAACTAATGTGTAAATACTCATACTACATAACTATTTCATTACAGTAATTATAAGAGGTAATAGACTGGGATGTCCATTCTTTGAGTAGCCTTGAAAATCTCATCCATGATTGCTGCCAATTACTTTGCTTGGGTTTTGTTCTCTTTTAGAGACAAGAACAGTATTAAATTGGAGATGTCTATGTGCAATAACAGATGAAAACAAAATTAGAAAGAATGGATGCATCTGTGCATCCAGAAAGAAGCAAGAATAAATCCTCAGGAGCTGCTTTTTCAAGATACATGCAAACAAGCTTGGGACCTTGTGTGCCATATTTTATTGCTGTGAAAAATTTACGAAGAAAAGTTCAATTCGTTTAAAAGTTTTCCTTATTGCTGTAGCATTTTTCCTTATGAAATGGAATTACTATAATAGGTGTCTCAGCATATTCCCAGTGGTGTCATTGACAAGAAATATTGACAGGAGATCTTATAACGAAAATCCATAACACGCACCTCTTACGACTCAACAACAGCTATCACTAGAAAAACAGATCAGCAAGCAAGACTTGAAGGTCACTGTGTAATAGAATAAAGGTAGCCATTCCAGACAATGAAACTGCAGCACTAAAAAGATTTTGTACACAGTGATGAACAGCTTCAGACAGCACTAAACGTAGAGGCAGACAGTGTGAAGCAGATGCAGCATTCAAGGCTGCAGTATGGACCAGCCCAACTCTTACGGACTGAGAGTGTAAAATCTAGCTCCAAGGTAGATTTAGCTCAAAGTTGAAATCTTTGAGACTTGCAGAGCGAAAGGTGGGTAGCAGTGCCCAGTCTTCCTCCCAGCATAGCAAAAATCCAAAACACTTTCAAAACAACGAGATAACCACATTCTCCCCTTTTTTATTTTCTTCATTTTCCGTATTTACTTCTTTACTGCCTTCCCTTCTAGTCTTCCTACTAAACTGGTTACCTTTTCATAGTCCATTTATTTTCTGGATGGCAACAAGAAGCATTTGTTAGCTTAGAAAACATTTCCATGCTTGTACTTCGCCCATAACCCTCAAGTGTATTGGCAGCAGTTGCACATTTCTATCAAGGAAAGCTTCTGTTTTCTTAATTTCTGCTTGCTATGATCTCCTTTTGTTTTCTTCAAAATTTATCTTCAGTAAAGTTGCACTGTATTTTATTGCTGCTTCTTCTGGTTATGTATTGTTGAGTTTTTCTTTCCTGATAACTCTATGAATTGGCTGGCTATTTTTCATTATTTCTGTGGGGCTATGGGGAAAAAAAAACAATTCCTTTACTTGAGAATTCTGACATTTATTAGCATAATAAAACTCTCAGATGAAATTGCAGTTTTCCAAGTAATTTCATTTGCAGGGGAATGTACAAGGGATTTATTTTAAAGCCAAGTAAAACCTAGAATGAGAAATGGATTGAGCACAGACAGAAAAACTTAGAAAATTAGAAGTAGGAAATGTGCTCCGAAGTGAAAATGATGGTGCTGTTGTGATGTTTATTACATCACAAGAGGATACATAAGCCAAAAAGCTTATATTTCCAAACCTTCTTAGCGGCTAAACAAAATGCATGCAGTTGCTGGGAAGTGTGTCACTAGAAATAAATAGCTGTATTATCATCAATCTCTGAATGTGAATTCCTTATGGAACAAGTTCTTCAATATTCTGTCTATAAACATTCCCAAAATTGTGTACAACGGGTTGATTAATCTTCCAAAAGATTTGGTATGTCTTCTTTTTCTAGCACGCCTAGCACCTTTTCCAAAGAGAAGGTGGCATTTTATGCCTTTTTTTTTTTTTTTTTTTTTTACAGTTCTTAAAGGCTGTGTTGGTTTTGCGTGGCAAGGTTTTGGTAGCGGGGGGGCTACCACGTCAAAGGCAAAACACCAATCTGCAAAGATGTCTAAGTGTCTAAATACCACCTTAATTACTCAGTACCACCTTTAGACCCTCAGTCCTACACAGCCAGCTGCTGCTCTCTGGCTTCAGAGGTAAGTCTAGGAATACATATATTTTTTTAACTTTAAAAGGTCCCTTTCCCTTCTTCTTTGAAGTAGAGAATAACCTGAAGCCATTCTTGATATGCCTACAGAGAGGGAGCAAGTGCAGAGCTAGTTTCTCAGAGGAAGCATCTGGTATATACTGGGGTTCTTTGGAGGAGGTAGATTGCACTTAGCGAATGTTCTACTGGAAAAAAGCAATGTACTCTGTGATTATTTTAGAGAGTCCATATTTGAAGCACAGTGAATTACTCTGTGCTAAGCTCCACATTCTGGTAGCCGGACGCAATGTCTGTCTATACCTGTACCAGGTGTATATCTGTACCCAGCTCCCACACACCAGCCTTCTCATGTAATGGAGACATGTAGGTCTCTATTAGGGTCTATAATGTGTTACTATGTTCAAAACTGGAGAGCTGTATTCCATTTCGAGAATCCAGCCCCTGGAGACCTGCAGATGACCACACACTTTAACAAAATTCCAAGACCGCTTGGTTATCTTGACCTTTTATCTAGCTGCCAAGTCACTTTGTTTCTCAAGGTATCAGACACATAGCTAAAGAATGCCCTACCTCTGTAAACCTACTTGCTGTGAAAAGCCCGGCTGTTGGCTTATCTGAGCACTGTGCACTAAGAACAGCTGCTCCAGCTAATAAGCATTGCTTATTTGCTGTATCCTGATTTGTTTTCTTATGAGGTGCTAACAGGAACTATTTAAAACCTCCTGAGCCAGTGTTCCAAGTGATTAATACAGAAACTGTCCACCTAAGTCTCTGTGGAAAGTACATTAGAATTTTCTTTTCATGGTCACAAACATTGATGGATTAAATCACACAAAAAGCAATGTTAAGAGAATTTTCCTGAACAGTAATGAAGTTTGTGTGCAAAAATCTGTACTTTAATATGGGTTAACTGTAGAATTAATTATGAAAAAAATTGTTGCTATTATTACCACACATACGTATTATGGTGGCACCTTAAATGTATAGTGTGCTTTATAAGCTTGAACAAGGTTCTTTTCCTAGACGAGCTTACCATCTAGGACAGACAAAGCATTGAAGGTAACAGCAAGTCAAGAGAAATGACTGTTTGAGGAGAGAGAGATTTCTGTGCGGCTCGGGAGGGAAGTCTACACTGGGATTTGGAAGAGAACCACATAGGAAATCAGAGATTGCCCAAAGCAGCAGCACGTAGAAATACAGTCAGTGTGCCTTTTCTATGTGTTCAGAGATTCCCAGGAAAAAATTAACCATGGAGGTACACTTTACTTCTCCAAATACACACCACATATGAAAAAAGTACTGAGAAACTGCCTATTAAAGGCATGACTATGAGACTAACCAACAGGTGTACAACTACTTCCCTCATGGCCCACTTCACTTTTGAAACAAGTCAGTTACATACAAAACTGTCACAACCGTTATTTCAAATATTGCCCTGCAAAATGAATGTTCGGAGCTGAAAAGAACACTTCTATACCCAGCAGCTTCTACCTGGCCATTCATGGGAAGAGAGCAAGGAGCACAGGAAGGTAATAGTAACAGTTCTGCAACTCTTTCACTCTATTTCCTGAATTGGCTGCCTTAGTAGTATCCAGCTTACCAGCGAAACACTGCTGGACTACATCTGTACTGTTTGACAGCCCAGAGTACAAGGACTGCTAAGATACAAACTTCTGGAGGGCAAATTAACTACTGTGATTTTTTTTTTTTTAATAGTCCAAACACAAAGCAACTGCTCCATAGATCTGGGCCACAGGTCTATTTTCATGTGGTTCAGTACGTATAACAAATGGATCAAGAACACATTTGTGCATCTTTTTTAAAACATGAAATAGCATGATGATAATGTAATTAGTTGTACCTTTTCTACGGATAAATATACCACCTCCACCTTTGCTCCTAGCTCAGTTAAGGAAAATATCTTGTCCTACAGCAAAGTAAAGCTAGGAATCTCCAGCATGTATGTTGCACATCAGAAAGCAGAGAACATGACAAGGTCAGTGAGAGGAGTTGTTGCTGCAAATCAAACTGCTTTCATTGGAATAACTAGTTTAGAATAAAGTGACCACTTCCTGTACAGGAGTAAAAGTCTTTCCAAGGCTGTTGGACTGCATGAAGTTGTAAATAAAATGTGAATGACCTTATTCTGTCTCTGCTGTGGTGAACTTTGTACGCCTGCATTCAAAAGCATAATGACAAGTTTCCAGCTACACCTAACCATTTAAGCAATCACAAACTGCAAAAAGACATTTTAAGACTGCTTCTCCTCTTATCAAATGTGCATCACTGAGTGATGAGACTGTCAACAGAAACGGACAAACCTTGCTTTGGACGAAAGAATCTGTTCACCAATACTGGTATGTCATACGATACTCTATGAGTAGTTCCCGCCCATACTTCTTGCTGCGGTTTGCATTTTCAATCTCAGACATTAAGAAAATTAAGATACGAACTTAACGTTCAGTGCAATTGGCCACAACCCCTTGAAAAATTTGAATATGAACAATGATAATTCAGATGCAAAATAGCAATATTTTGGGCCTTCTAACGAGGATACTTTTTGGCCACAAGACCAGTGGCTTTGGAAGTTTGTTAACTACTTTTCAGTGTCTACATTTGTAGCTATCTATTACTAGAGCTATCCAGAATGCATTCCTCTTAGTCCTGGATCAGTTATTCAAATAAAGGGCTGTAGTCTGGTGGATTCTTCTGCTGCCCACAGGGCTCCAGTAGTAGCTCCCCGCCTGAGGATGTGATGATTTCTTCCTAGAAAGATAAAACCAATTAAAATATCATTCAGAAATGTCTAATCCTTTCCCTTTCTTCTAAGAAAAGCAACTGACAGAAATAAAGACCATCACTCCACTGTAATGGGCAACCAATTATGAATAAAAGCTTGATAAAATACAGACCAAAAGGATTCTATCAACTATTCATTTTCTTCATGCTTGTTTATCTCATACTTATGCCAGTAGTAACTTGTGCTAGTATCAAATAGTGAAATCAAACAGTTGGTGTACAGAAAAGACTGTGATTTGTACTACCTGTAAATTGCTATGCTACTTCAGAAAAACAGCAATAGATACCTATGAAGAATGTTCTCAGGGGTTAATTTAACAGACATATGCCAGTTCTGCTATGCTACTTCCATAGTCATTGGGATGAAAGAAGCTTCACCAGGCAGAGTGAGCAAGAGCTCAATGTTGAGTGCTCACACACAACAGTAACAGCTTTCTGACTGATAAAGATAACCACCTCATTAAGGTAAAGACAGTCTTTACAAATAGCACCTATCCTCATTAAATATCCACATGCTGAGTCAGTCATTCCAGTAATTGATTACCAAGATGAATACAAAAAAACTCACTGGAAAAGTAGAGAATTTGGTCTTTGCACTTATTCCTAGAGTAATGATAGTTCATTTATATTTTTGTAGAAGTTTAAGATTTATAAATGTACCAAAATGGGCCAGAATCCGCAATTGTATCAGCTAAAATAGCAATCCTTCACCTGAAAGTTTAGATCCAAGTTATGGATCCATATATGGGCCTAACATTTTCAAAACTTATCTAGTTTCTATTGAAATTCAATGGAAATTTGGTGCCTGATTTCCTCAAAACACATGCAGGCTCCCAGTTGTGGTTCCTTCCCAATCACTTCATCAGACTGAGAAAAGTTCAGAAAGTTACTAATCAAATTAAATGCTTCTAGAAGGTTATGAGGAAGTAAATACAAAGATTTAGCAATGATCTTGGATATGTTATTGCTGCTTTCCACATAGTATTAAATGCAAGTAGTAATAAGAGAAAATGCACACTCACACCCTCTTCTGCAAGAAGTTTGTTCTTCCCTCTAATAGTTACCACCTCCTTGCATCTGTCAGCTGAGGTGCTTGAGTGACCTCGTCTTAATTTTTTTAAACCAAAATGAAGCAGTTTTAGATGAATAAGTATAAGCAACTAAAAAAGTAGTTATGCCAGCCCTGCTCATTTTGATTGAAAGTGGAACAAATCCTCAAAGAGAAGCCCATGCAACTTTTGGTGTGGGAAGTACACTCTTGCCAAAAATAGTCCTGAGGAAGCAGCAACTTTTCCAAACAATATAGGAATAGCCACAAGAGAAAGTGTGCCCACAGTGCAGCCATTTACCTAAAGGCTGCATAGTTGGTTACCAGGCGGCTTTGGGACATTTGACAATGTATTTCACTAGAAAGGGCAGGCAGAAGAGCTTCAAAGACAAACCACAGAATAGACAGGATAAGATGCCTCCTGAAGTGATTGCCAAAGGGACCAGTGTTGCAGCTATTAAGTGAGACAGTTAAAAGAGAATTGTGTTGTGACAATAAAGGTGAACCAGTTTGTCTGATAGGCTTACTACAGGGGACCTCTTAACTATTATCAGGGGATAGCTAAGAAAACTTTTTTTGTTTTTTAAATGTCAGAAACTAAAAGCCATTCTGCTTCTGATGAGCGCCCTACTGCTGACTGTAAATAGATGTTTCTAGTATGGTGATTGTCTAGGATGAGCCGTGATGAAAATATAGGAACATAGCTGGAGCAGAGATGGTTGGAATTGGTTGTCACCATCACCCCTCCCCAGGAGCACAGGGGATAGTGCTGTAGCCAGAGGTCCTACATCTAATGCCTGATAATCTGTATTTGAGGTGTTGTATGCGTGTTTTTCTTTCCCTGACAAGGCCCTGGTTAGACTCTTTCCGTTGTACTGGGTCTGGCTGCAATGGAGTTAACCTTCTTCACAGCAGTCTGTATGGTGGTGTGTTTTGAATTTGTGGCTAAACCAGTGTTGAAAACACCGTAACGTTTTGGCTATTGCTGATCAGTGCTTGCACAGCATCAAGGCTTTCTCTGTTTCCCACTCAGCCCCTGCTGGCCATGAGCAAGCTGGGGATAAGCAAGAAGTTGGGAGGGGACACAGCCCAGTTGGTTGACCCAAACTGGCCAAAAGGATATTCTGTACCATGATGTCATGCTTGGCAGTAAAAATTGGGATAGAGAAAGAAGGATGTGGAGGGATTTGGCCACTGAGAGAGAATTTCATCAGATAAGAGGAGGAGGTATTTTCTGGTCAAATGTGACACCTAGTATCCTCCCATGTGGAAATATAATGTCAGACGGATCTGTGAGGGGACACTAAGGCAAACCTCATTTGTCTTAACCTTTTTATTTTATCTTAAAATAAAGGCACTTCAGTGTGCACACGTGCCAGTAGCTAAGATGGGAGAAAGAAGGTGAGAGAGAGGAGGCCAACCAAAATCTAACTTTCAGAAGAAAGTAATCATTTTCAATGAATCTGAATGAGTTTGCGATTTTCTGCCCTTGATTATTTTTTATTATTATTTTTTCTTGTTTGGGGACTTAAAAATCCTATTTAGGAAGTGAACATCTATGTTTTTATGAAGGATATCACATCAAATCTATGTTCCCGCATGTAATGTAAATTATGAGAAACTCAACTTTTTTGTTAAGCCAATAAAATCCAAAATAATTGACTTCTACTGTACTGCTAATAACAACTGAAATGTAAGGATTACAGCTGGAAGAAATAGTGTGCAGGTTTGAATGAAGAGATGTTCCCAACTAGCTGAAATGAAAGATTTGAGAGAAGGGAAATTGGAAGAAAAATAATCTCTGCTTAATGTCTGTGAGACTGAGTACTGAAAAAATTAAAAGCTGTGAAGAAAAGGAGGAGCAAAAAATTAATAGAATTAGTTTGAGACAAGAGTGAGAAAAGGATAAAAAAGGAAAGGGAACTAGAAAAGAAAGGATGAAGAGAAATTGTAAGGGTGGCTAAGAAAAAAAAGCAGAATTAAAACCAATGAAGATGGGGGGAGATGCAAGGTGATGAAAACAACCTACATTATCAAAACAGTGCTACTGTTTAGTCACAGTCTGGCAACAAGAAACACAAGTTAGAGGCAAAGTCATTCAAATCCATCTAAAGTCAAAGATGAGTAGCAAATTACTCTTGTAACACTGTTTTGGGTAAAGAGGAATGACCCTTGGCACATCCTTAAAAGAGAACTCCTCTATGTTCCTTTCTTTACTGCAGGGCCTGACTCCTCTGCTTTGCGCGTTACAGTCCTCATATCAAAGGTCAAAAAATGCTGAAATTTCATCAAAAAACCTTTCCATGGTATTTCCAATCCAATTTTGCACAGCAAAGAGGCTCAAGAAGTGTTAGCTATGTCAGCCCTTATTAGTTGATTTTTAGCGCAGGAGAGCATGCATTGTGTAAGAATCTGCTTAGAAGGGGACACGAATACATGCTGAAGCATTTGAAAGAAGGGGAAAAGCCTTCTGATTCACTGCAATAAAAGACACATGCATATGTGTTTATACATATATGTTATAGCTAGGCTTACTGTAGAATATATACGTATATTCTTTTCTCCACTATGGTTACTTCTACTTTTCAGTGTGGTTTCAAATTACATGGTTCCTCTTTAAATTATTAATCCATTCCACTCAGCTATCGATCTCTACCTAGCAAGTGTTACCTTGTGAAAATCAATAAGATCTGTCAGTGTTGCATGTCGGTTTGGATCTACCCCCAAGAAGCTGTAGAAATCCCCCGAAGCATCAACCAGGAAGTGTTTGAACCCACTTTGCTGGCGATAAGACAATGCATAGCCCCAGATTTTCTCACTGACTCGCAGCAGAAACGTTCCTTCAGATTTATTCATCAACAACTCTTCTGCCTCTTGGCGGCTGATAATACCTGGCAAGAAAAAACCCTATGATTATGCAGGTAACAGGTCTGTAAAAGTAAATCAAATGCAACAAACACAGAGCAGAAGTGAAATTAAAACTTCTCAAGATTGAAAAGTTTATAGGAGGATTTAGACCTATGAAGACAATACTTATGCTATTTGCTTCTGAAGGATAGCTATAAGAGTTTTGATGGAGTTTGATGGGATATGCTTTTTAATTAGCTGATTAAGAACTGCTTTTTCACATCCTTACTGCTTTTTCAAAGGAAGTACCTAAATGCAACTGGCCTATCAGACCAGCAAATTCTGTGCAAGTGATCATTTAGCAGACTAGCATGGTTTGGCATTGCAATTTGAATTTGCAATACGTTGCTGATATTTGCAATTGTACTGCAGTACCTCTGTGTTGCCTTACAATTGTTTTATATGTCCTAAAGAAGGAACATAAAGCAAGTGCCAGGATTAAAAGCATTTGTCTGCTTTTGTGCCTTCATACACACACTCATCCATAGATGCAGATAAATTGGAGCACAAAGAAATAAAATCCTGCAACTAATAGAGCTTCTAACAGAGATGGGTATGTTAGATTACTTATTCACAGGCTTGCATTTCTAGGGAACATTGTTACAGAGGAAAACAAGAAACAAATATCATAGTCCTTTCCTTCTGGAATCTTTCAGGCTTAATATCAGAGTAATAGTCTCCTCTAGTTAGAACCTTTAGCCATGAACTTAACAGAGTACCAACAAAAAGAAAATATTGAGTGTTGTATTTGTTGACCACAAATGAGCTAGTCTTTACAATTCATAATGAACAATAATGACCCATGCACCTTGCTCCAGGACAAGAGACAACAAAATTAGTTGGGACTTCTTGCAGTACATAACTGTCATCCTGTGGTCATTTTCTCTATGAGCCAACTTACCTCTCTGGACAAACTCAATCAGGGAACAAACTCTCTACCCATATCCTAGTCACCAAGCAGTAGTTTTATAGGTGAATTCATTCCTTTGCTGCATGAGAAACTTATTTGCCAGGGCAAAAGAAGGATCATAAATTCAGATATTCAGAGTAAGCAAGGGATAAAGTTTAGCAGGAGTAGAGCTTTCAAGAACTTTCCCATTTTATTCTTCTGTGTTCAAAAAATCTTCATCTCTCTCTTTTCTTTCTGATCCTAGGACACAATAGAAGTTGCTGGTACTTCTGCTTGCAAACAGGCTGTAACAGATAAACCCTATTCTGATTGCATCCCATGTAAAAGGTGTGATCAGAATTGCACCCAGCACTAAACTAGGTCTTACCATCCACCTAGAAAGCCTAGTTCCAATTTGTCTGCTAGACCTAGAGGACAGTAAGCTCATGTCTCATAATTATCTCTGAAATACCAGATGCTCACTTTAATCAGGAACAGATGTTGAATTAGGCCATTCTGAATGTGAACATGACACAAATGTCAGTAAGTAATATATGTGCATGTTCCAAAGTTACTGTCTGTGAAAACTTTCTCAAAATTATAGATGTAACATTTAATGGAACTGCTTGTCATCATAGAATCCTATATATGTCCTAGAGAGAGTTCATGGAGTCCAAGTACTGAAAAGCTGCATTGTTTTCGTGTAATAACCACCATAGCCCAGGGATTACCAATTCGGGCAAAGAAGGGCCTACTTGAGACGCAAAAGTTTGGGAGGCTCTAATTAAGCCCACAAGGAAAATTATGCCTCTGGGAGACAGGAAGGGACTGAGGAGATCTGGGTCTTAAAAGCAAGCACTGTGCGATGTTAGGAAAGATAGAAAAGCACCTCCTTCTTTCAGTTTTTGTCTATTTTGAGGCAATAAATTTCTTTTCCTGTTTTACATGGTGCAATGATGAACACAACAAGGGCTCAATCTCAGTGGGGCTCAGAGGTTCCTACTGAAATATCCTCAGTAGTCAGAAGAAACATACACATATATACTATGCTGTATGATGTACGGTTCTCTTTGCCAAAGGATATTACATCATCTTTGCACCAGACATGCAAAATAGGCAATAAACATGCAAACACATGCATTTGTTTAGAAACAGCATGCAACTGCTCAGCCAACAGTGTCAATTAACTGCACTCTGCAAAACTAAAAACAGTTTTATTGGAAGAATTCCAAGATGAATTGTTACAAATTCTTGAACTCTGTTCAAATGAAAAGATAGTACTAACATGAATCCATATGATACAGCACATTAAGTGAAGCTGTATCACTAGATCCCAATGTCAGGTGCCACGTGCCAAGAATTACACAAAAATTGATTCTGAAATCACCCTATTTGTTAAGGCAAATATCCAGTCTTCTCTCAAATTGCTCTAATTTAAATATACAATGAAAGGTTTTATTTGTGATTACGATGCCTACTTCCTTGACAAATCCTTGCTAGAAATACATGTAGATGAGCCACACTAACAAGCTCAGAGCATTCAGTGACACAGTAAAGGATAAACAGTTCCATCACCAGCAAAAACATTATTTCCAATAATCAATATTTATACTGTAATTCTAGATTGCAACCATGCTGATAAGTTTTGGGATAGGAACTGGGTGCTGTTACAACTACCCCTTCTCTAAGCAGTGTCAGAACTGTTATGCAGCCCTGCTAGGGAATGAGGTGGCCTAGACAATTTAGCACCTATAACAGTAGAGGGTATTTAAAAAAAGAGACTTATAAAAAAAGAAGGTTTGTGTTATACAGTGAACATTATTCTTAGGATATTTCCAGGGTTTGAATGACCATCGCTATCAGGCATATAATATGAAATTCATTTAGCATCGATTAGTTTAATGCTAAACAATCTGTTCACCTGCTCTCAACTCCCACCAGTAGAGCTAAAACACTGCAGGCTTCCTCATGATGTTATCTCCTTTGCCAGACCTTATTTTTGTTCTGGGTGCTTTATATCATTGAGTAGGTGAGAAATGCTACGTTGCTCACGGCCAAGTTTTTTGTTTTAATTCTCTTTTCTGCTAAAGATGGTGTAATAAATTATCAGCCAGCTGCTTTCTTCCCTTTTTCTCCCCTGATTCTGTTAACAGCTCATGAGAAACCATCTCTCCCCATCACCTGCCCCCTCTCTCTGCCTCCCAGTTATTTTATTTTTCTCTGGTTCAATTCTTCAGTGGGTGGTGATTGCAGCAATGAAAGTCTCCCTCCACCCTTTAAAAAGCGTTATACTGTTCTCAAGACAACTAGAAAAAGAGTGCCACTGCTCACTCCTGAGACGGCTGTAGAGAAATAAACAACATCTGTGAACCCCCTACATGAACATTTAAAATTGTCTGAAGTCAAGAAACTTTGTTTTCCCAAGGCTCTGGTAAAGAGATTTAGAATCACCGATGCTCTTATTTGTGCTAGTTAGGATATTAATTGGAAATATTATCTGGAAAAGAAACCACTGATGCTTTGAAAGCTAATTTCCCTCTCTCTCTAATTCTTACTAATCTCCTAAAAAAAATAAAAAAAGAAAAAAGCAACATCTTCACTTGGTGTAAAGCAACACTGTGTCAAAAGCAGTAATCCTTTCACATAAGCACAACTTTGCAAATCAGTCATTTAAATCAACACCTCACAATTAATCAATCGTCCATCAGTACCACCATTTTAACTCTTCATGTGGCCATACACACAATAGCCTATTTGGACAGCAATTCGCTACCCCACTGAAACTCACATCTTCTACTTCTTGTGCCAAAAAATTTCTCTCGGAGTATACAAAATGCTGTTGTCTATAACAAACTTTAGAAGAGTGGTAGAGTTTTTACAAAAGAGACGATCAAAGGTGTAACTAGCTCCTCTTGAAAGCATGGAAACCCTATCAGCTGGCCTGAGTTTTAGCCCCCTGCCCCCCAAATTCACTGTATGCATTTATCATGTCACAAGCATCTACCTGTCCACTTCAAACATTCTAGTTTTGCAATGCTTATACATATTAACATTTTGGATTCTTAGCAAAAGAATTACATTTTGAAAGACAGTTATTTCAAATCACAGGACATTCATCATCAACCGACATGTTCCTAATTAACACCTTCATTTTTAAATACAGTGCCTGTAATGACAATTTGTAGATGATAGACAAGTCTTAACATTTTTGTTGTAATTATGTTCTTTTTACTGCCACCAATCTTCCAAAAAGGAAAAAGAACATCCTAACATTTAGAGTATATTAAGCTCACGTGGGAACTGAAGAGTCCATTATGAATTTAGTGGGCACAGCTAAGAAATCTTGATGCTGCCTTCCAAGTTTACAGCAGCCTCAGCAGCAGAAAATGCTATTCTGAAATATTATGCAATGACACTTCAGCCTCCCACTCTTCTCTCAGCATTATCCTACGTACATCCTTGAGTGAAACTCAGGAGATGAAATACATAAATATTTGCTAAGAGAATGCCATAACAAGCATGAATCCAAACTAGAAAAGCTGATAAACTTTGCCAACAAGGCAAGACTATATACTAGTAGTCTAAAATTATTTTTTTGTTTATACAGATAAAGTTACATCATGTCCATTGTGGTAATCTACCAGTGGTCTAATGTACCATGTGTAGTAACAATGTCAACATATAATTTGGCCTTTAATGGTGAATATATTTTTAATACGCATATGTGCATTTATATATGTCAAGAGGTCAACTAAGATTAGAGGGACAGCAGGTACAAACACAGCGCAGAAGCGTTCATTTACCCTTCTGTAATAGAAGCTATTTGCTTAGCTGATGTTTTCTCTTGTCATAATTTTTCATTAGCTTAATCTCAAACACTCTAGTGCATGAGGTTTTACTCACAGAGCAAAAGCGTCACAAATACTGACATGAATAAATATTAATGAGAGCCTTCATGCCAAAAGTGCTTTCATGACCATTATCAAAAGCCTTCTATTTCATGCAAAATTGATTTGTTGAACAATTATGAATATTCACAGGTAATCAATGAAGAGCAAAGAGACTCATCCTGTTTATACAACTTAAGACATCTAA